TGTACTTTCAAGTTACTGTTTCAGTTTTCTTTGAATAAATTCCCAAAGTAGAATTGCTGAGTCATAGGCAGTTTCATTTTTAATTTTTTGAGGTAACTCCACACTGTTTTCCACAGTAGCTGTACCGGTTTGCATTTCCACCAACATTACACGAGGGTTCCTTTTTCTCCACATCCTTGCCAATACTTGCTGTTTGTTGATTTGTTGATGATAGCCATTTTGGCAGATGTGAGGTAATACCTCATTGTGATTTTAATTTGCATTCTGTAATGATTAGTGGTATTGAGCATCTTTTCATATGCCTATTGGCCATGTATATGTCCTCTTTTGAGAAGTGACTATTCAGGTTCTTTGCCCATTTTTAATTGGATTGTATTTTTTTTCTTTTCGTGTTGAGTTGTATAAGTTCTTTATAAATTTTGGATATTAATTCCTTTTCAGATGTATTAGCAAATACATTCTCCTGTTTAGTGGCTTGTCTTTTTATTTTATCGATGGTGTCCTTTGCTGTGAAAAAAGTCTTTGATTTGGTTTAGTGCCATTTGTTTGTTTGTTATTTTGTTTCCCTTGCCTGAAGGTATATATCAGAAAAAATATTGCTCAGAGAATGTCAGAGATTTTACTGCCTATGTTTTCTTATTTTATGGTTTTGAGTCTAACATCCAAGTCTTTAATTCATTTTGAGTTTATTCTTCTGTATGGTACAAGTCGGTGGTGTAATATTACTTTTTTTGCACATAACTGTCCAGTTTTCCCAACATCATTTATTGAATAGACTGTCTTTACCCCTTGTATTTTTTGCCTTCTTTATCAAATATTACCTGACCATAAACATACGGATTTTTTTCTGGGCTCTCTAGTCTGTTACATTGATCTATATGTCTGTTTTTATGCCATTATCATGCTGTTTTGATTACTAAGGCCTTGTAGGATAGTTATATATTGGGTATTGTGATTCCTCCAACTTTGTTTTTATTTCTTAAGATTGCTGTCTCTACATGGGATCTTTTGTAGTTCCATATAAATTTTTACAATATTTGTTTAATTCTGCGAAATACACCATTTATATCTTCATAGGAATTGCTTTGACTGTACAGATTGCTTTGGTTAGTTGGACAATTAAATAATATTAATTCTTCCTACCCGTGAATATGGTATATCCTTCCACTTATGTGTATCTTCCTCAATTACTTTCTTTAGTGTCTTATATTTTTTGAGTTTAGATCTTTTACATCCTTGGTTAAATTTATTCTGTTTCTTTTTTTTGAAGCAATTGTGAATGAGATTGTTTTCTTAGTTTATCTATGTGATTGTTCATTATTGCTGTATAAAATGCAATTGATTTCTGAATATTTACTTTTTATCTTGCTACTTTACTGAATTCATTTTTCAGTTCTAGGTTATTTTTGGTGGAATCTTTAGGGTTCATTATATATAGCACCATGTCATTTGCAAATAATGACTATTACATCTTCCTTCCCTAAAAGGTAAACTGAATACCTTTTATTTCTTCTCTTATTGTTATGGCTAGTACTTCCAATACTGTGTTGAATAAGAGTGGTTAAAGTGGACATCCCTGTCCTGTTCCTGGTTTTTAGGGAAATGATTGTAGTTTTTACCACTGAGTATGATGTTGGCTATGGGTTTCTCATATACAGCCTTTAGTACTTTGAGTTATGTTCCCTCTCTTTTCACCTTGCTGGGAGTTTTTATCATAAATGGATGCTTGGTTTTATCAAATGCTTTTTATGCGTCATTGATATGATCATGTAATTTTTATCTTTCATTTTGTTTACATACTACATCACATTTATTGATTTGCAGATATTTAACGAACCTTGCATCCTTGAATAAATTCCACTTGGTCATGGTATATGATGTTTTCAATATATTGCTAGATTCAGTTTGTTAATTTTTGCTTGAGGGTTTTTATATATGTTCAATAGGGATATTGGCCTATGATTTTCTTTTTTGTAGTGTTTTTGTCTGGTATTAGAATCAAGATAATGATGGCCTCATAAAGTGACCTTGGGAGTCATCCCTCTTCTTCAATTTTATTGATATTTGAGAAATATAAGTGTTAGTCTTTCTTTGATTGTTTGTTAAAATTCACCTGTGAAACCATCCAGTTTAGGACTTTTGTTTGGTGGAAAGTTTTTTGTTTACTGCTTCAATTTCATTAGTTGTAATCTGTCTATTGCAATTTTCTGATTCTTCATGATTCAGTGTTGGAAGATTGTATTTTTCTAGGAATTTATCCATTCATTTAGATTGTCCAAGTGTTGGCATATAGTTGCTCATAATATTTTCTTACAATCCTTTCTATTTTTTTGGTGCTGCTACTTCTTTTTCATTTCTGATTTTATTTATTTAGATCCTTTGCTTCATCCAATCTACTTTTTGTTCCTTCTTTATGTTCTTCTTTCCAGATATTGTATTCTTTTCTGACTGGTCTTTCTTAATGGTATTTAGATCCTGTATCATGTAGTTAACATCCTAATAATCATTACTTTAAACTCTATATGTAACAAATTGCTGGCCTCTATTTCACTTAGCTCTTTTTCTGGAGATTTCTCATGTTCTTTCTTTTAGGACCTTTTTTTTGTCTCCCCATTTTGGCTGCCTCTTTGTGTTTGTTTCTGTGTATTAGATAGTTCTGCTATGATTTCCAGTCTTGGCAGGGTGGCCTTATGTAGTAGGTGTCCTGGGGTCTGGTACTTGTCTCCTTGATCACCTGAGCTGGGTGGGTGCTCCAGGAATGTCCCCTGTGTGAGTTATGTGGACACTTCTGTTATAATTGAGTCTTGATTGCTATTGGCCTATTTGTGCATGGGATCATCCCTATGGCTGGCTGACTGTGAGGCACAACCTCAACCCCAGTGTGCAAATTGTTGTTCAGGTGGTAACCACATGAAGCAGAAGTTACCTCAGCAGTTTTTGGTCCCTGCCAAAATTTCTCTTTGGATATGCTGCATATGAAGCTTATTAGATCCTGCTTTGATGTTGTCTGAAGCTGGCCACTAGGTGTGTTGGTTCTGCACTTTGAGAGGGACTCTGGTACAAGCCAGTGTAAGACACTACCTATAACTGGCTTTTGCACAGTTTGAGGCTACTGCTGCAGGGCCTGGATCTCACAGGAAGGGTCAGGTATGCACCAAGGCCAAGTTTTACCAGCACTGGAACACTGGGAAGGTCAGCAAAAGTCCCAGGGTAACCTGAGATCTGCCTAGCTTATCTCTGCCTGCTGGGCTTGTTTACTGGAAGAGCTCTGTCTAGTCCTCAGTACACCTTACACTCCACAGTGATAAGCGAGAGGGTATAGAGGACACGGGGTTTTGCTTTCCCCAAGACTGATGCTGCATAGAGTGGAATGCTCCACCCAAGAAAGATGGCATCTCCAATATGGGAGAACGACTTCCCAAAGGTATTCTGGGAGCTCTCCCTTCAGTTCCCCAGAGCCACAAAACCCAGACTCACACAAATCTAGTCCACTCTATCCTCACTTTGCCAGAGCCCTGAGTGAGTACCGTGAATGAAATTTTGTACATTGGTCCTTTAAGAGGGTGTCTGTGTCTCTATCAAACTCCCACCTGTCCCTGGTGGACAACAACCCTGTTTCTTTTCACAGCCAGATGTTATATGGGTGCCTGTTCCTGGCTCTTGTGTTCTGGGCTGGGGAGCCAGGTGTGGGGTTTAGATCCCACACTTCAGGGGAAATCCTTATGCAACTAAGATATCTCTCCAGAACCTTAGCTGTTACCCGTGGGTGCTGGTCCAGCACTTTTTTGTGTCTCTGCCCATCCTATTAATCTCTATGTGGCTTCTTTTGTAAATTCTTGGTTATAAGACTTCTCTTCAGCTAGTCTTCAATTGGTTATTCAGGATGATTATTCTATAATCTACTTGTAATTCCAGTTTGGTATTTTGAGGAGGTGAGTGTAGCTTCCATCTACCTTGCCTCCATTTGGGATCTCCTATTTTTGTTTTCAAAGGTCATATATTAAGCTTACAAATACATGCGGAAAATTGCTGTGCAAAACAAGTTTAATAAATTATATTAAAAACTAAAGCACCCTTTAATCTTAAAACTTCTAAAGAGTGTAAAATTTTAATTAAATAAAAAAGTAACTATGAATTATTTAAATATGAAATTTACATATTAAATAAATCAGTATTTTCTTCCTTAAATATGTGTTATCAAGTTTCAAGAATATTGTAAACTTGGATAATTTAATATGAAATTATTCCTACAGCAAGATTTATAAATAATAAATATTATCTTACTAACTCATAATTTAGGTTTTTTAGGTCTCAGAGCAAGTTAATTCTTCAGAGAATGTAGTGTTCTTTATAAAAGAAGGTGATGAGATATCCTCTCCAAGGAATTAAATTGTGAAAACAGTTTTGGTATTGTACGTGCTAATATAAATCTGTTATTCCCTTTTCACATATGTAAGAATACATTTTAAATTTTGAATGAACCTGTATGCAAATAGCTGTCTCAGTAGAAATTGTGGCTATATATGCTAATTTCTCCCTGGATTTCTTGAAAGTTTGCTATCTAATCATCAAGGCAATAGAAATGAATGCTGATTACTATAAGATTTTGAACATCAGAGAAAAGTCAGAATATTATAGAAGTTCCTGATATTTGAGGCTTTGACAGTTGACAGTATTCATCACTATACACATGAATAGATATCACTTCAGATCATTTAAAATAGGCTGAGTGTTTTTATTAGGGAAGTAAAATATTTTCTAACTTCTTATATTTATTGTAGCTAATAAAGTGTATTTGCACATGTGTGCATTTTCTAGGCATGTTTGTTTCAACATTTGGTAGGATGTTATTTTGCTTAAAGAATAAAAAATAATAAACAAAATAAAGTTTACATTTTTAATATTTTGATTAGGGATTACTAATCACTCAATAAACATGAGAATATCTAGTCAAGATGGAGGCATAGGTAAACACGTTTTGCTTCCTTGCACAACTACAGGAAAATTACATCTATACCTGAAAACAAATACCAGAACCATCAGAAAATTGAGCTGTATGGAAGTCCAACAACCAAGGATTTAAAGAAGCCACAATCATCCAGGCGGATACACGGAGAATGGCAGAGAGGTGAGGAGACGTAGCGGGACATAGAGAGATGGTGGTGGTGAAATGGGTGGTCACACGTTCACATGTGCTGAATAAAAATTGGGACTGATACCTTGGGAGAGAGTGATCCCAGCCCCAGGCCAGACCACACAGCCCAGGGTTCCAGTGCCAGGAAGATCCCTATAATTTCTGGCTGTAAAAGCCAGTGGAGTTGGACCAGCAGAAAAAGCTGCTAGATATTCAGCACCCTCCTCTTAAAGGGCTTGTATGGGCTTAGAATTTATGCAGACCAACCTACTCTTGGATTCAGCACCAGGGCAATAGCTAGAAAGGCACTAGTCACATACAGGGAGGAAGTGAAGTGACTGGAAACAGGGTGAGTGCTGGATAAATCTCTAGAAGCCAGGCAGTGGCACTGCCCCCTCCCCAAGCCCTCCCCCTGACATAGAGCCACAAAGTGGTGAAGCAGGTTGCCCTGCACTGGTAATTACCTAAGGCTCCTCCCTACACAGCAGGTGCCTTTTTTTACAATAGGCCACACTACTAAGGAACTGTCAAAACAGCTCTGCCTATACACAAACACAAGGAGGCCGCCAAATTGAGGAGACAAAGACATATGGCCCAAATGAAAGAACAGAACAAAAACCCAGAAAAGAACTAAACGAAATGGAGATAGCCAACTCATCAGATGCAGAGGTCAAAACACTGGTGATCAGGATGCTCAAAAAACTCATTGATTATGGCAACAACATAAAGGAAGAAATGAAGGTTACACCAAGTGAAATAAAGAAAAACCTACTGGCAACTGACAATAAAGGGAAGAAAACTACAATACAAATCAACGATTTGGAACATAAGAAATAAACATTCAATCAGAATAGAAAGAAGAAACAAGAATTTAAAAAAGCAGGGATAGTAGAAGAAGACCCTAAGACATCTCCAGACATGCCAACATCTGAATCATAGGGGTGCCACAAAGAGAAGAAGGACAGCAAGAAATTGAAAACTTATTTGAAAAAATAATGAAAGAAAAATTCCCTAATTTGGCAAAGGAAATAGATACACAAGTCCAGTAAACAAACAAATTAGACCCAGAGCAGACCACACCAAGATACATCATAATTAAAATGTCAAAAGTTAAAGAGAGAATCTTAAAAGCAGCAAGAGAAAAGGAGAGGGTTACCTACAAAGCAGTTCCCATAAGACTTTAAGCTAATTTCTCAAAAGAAACTTGGCAGGCAAGAAGGGACTAGCAAGAAGTATTCAAAGTGATGAAAACTAAGGACATACAACCTAGATTACTCTACCCAGCAAAGGTATCATTTAGAATGGAAGGGCTGATAGAGTGCTCCCTGCCAAGGTAAAGCTAAAGGAGTTCATCATCACCAAGCTATTATTACATGAAATAATAACGGGACTTATTTAAGAAAAAGAAGATCAAATCTATGAACATATATGCCAACAAATTCACAGCTAGCAACAACTGAGTCTTTTAAAAAACAAAAAGCAAATGAGCAGAACAGGACCAGAGACTCATAGATATGGAGATCATTTGGAGGGTTATCAGCTGGGAGGAGGAGGGGGAGAATGGGGGAAAGTTTCAGGGGTTAAGAAGCATAATTGGTAGGGACAAAATAGACAGGGAGGTGTTAAGAATAGTATAAGAAATAGAGAAGCCAAAGGACTTCTACACATGAACCATGGACATAAACTAAGGTGGGGATTGCAGGAGGGAATGGGGATACTGGGAGGAGAGAGGTAAAGGGGGAAAATTGGGATAACTATAATAGCATAATCATTAAAATATATTTTTTAAAAACACAAGAACAACATTTTAAACTTGTTTCTCTTTAATTTCCTAGGTTGAATTTCTTTTCAAGTTTTTATATGCATAGGTTGTTATCCATATAATATGTGTCTGCTAAAAATTGGGTTCTTCACACTTCCTGTCTTATTTATTTAAAGTTTATTTTTATTTTTGAAGATTTTATTTATTTATTTTTAGAGAGAGGGGAAGGGAGGAAGAAACATCAATGTGTGGTCGCCTCTCATGTGGCCCCCACTGGGGACCTGGCTTGCAACCCAGGCATGTGTCCTGACCGCGAATTGAACCAGCGACACTTTGGTTCGCAGCCCATGCTCAATCCACTGAGCTATACCAGCCAGGGCCAAAAGTTTACTTTTAAATAAATAAATTTTAATTTACGTTGGTGAAGAAACATTGCCTGTGGATCTATTATTTTTGTGTTTATTACAGGTAGTGAGTGACTAAAATGCTGGCCTCTAAAGTGTTACCTTTTGGGTTATTGGTTGAAATGATGAGGAAGGAACTGGAGGAACAATAGTGAGTGACTGTTTTGGTAGATAGTGTGAGTAATTTGCTGTTTAAAAATTTAAAGGATTCCATAAAGGCAAAAGACAAAACTAAATTCAACAGGGAATAATGTTTTGAGTATTTATTCAAACTAACTTCTCTTCTAAACTTAAGTATTTGTTTAGCCCCACACAATAAGAAATCAAGATTGAAATAACTTGATTCCTCTTTACAATTAATAAATACAAAACACTATGCAAATTGTTTCTATACAATTAAATGTATATTTTGACATTTTTAGGGTGCTCGTAGTAACAGAATTATTTTTGAATGTTCTGAATTATAAAACTTGAAAATACAGGATTAGGTCATGTTGTGGTTTTATTTCTGGAATTCTAAGGATGTGTGTTATCTTCGATGTAAGAACTTATATTCTGATTTGGGGACAAGGAAGATGGCGGCGAGATAGGTGGGAGCGGAGCCCACTTCCCCCTGCACACGGGTGAAGCACCTGACCGGTCTTCTGAGGAACAGAGCCAACAGCCAACAGTATCCCAGCATTTATGAAGATTGGAGACCAAAAATTGTAGAGGACATTGAAATACCAGACGGTAAGGACAGTGCTTCAGGCCAATAAGGTCCCTGGGCCCAGCTCAGGGACCCGAGGTGGCTGCAGCCTCAGGTCTGGTGCCCACTGGGTCTTCTGAAGGATTCTTGGGAGAGAGCTGGGTCAACAGTTCCCTCCCCTGCCAAACAAGGTGTGAGCAGCACCAGGAGAGACCTGGTTGCTTGAAGTCGCAGGGGGGCAATAAGGACGAAGTGGCAAATACAGGGCTGTGTGCACCCACTGAGACTGTGGATGCTGGCTGGGGAGAGTTGGGCCGTGACGGACCCTGACCGGGTCAGTGCTCTGTCTGGTTGGAGAGTGGGGCTGTGTGAGAGGCCAGGTGCTTGTTTGGAGTGGCAGGCTTGAGCAGGAGGAATTTTTCAAAACGATAAAGTAAAAAGAGAGGCACTCAGTGGCTGTTTGGGGAATTTTCCTGCAGCAGCCACACCTGCCTCCTGTGCCCCTAACCCTGCCAGCTGCTCCTCACTCCCACCGGTGGTGTGGAAGGCCCTGCCCTCACACCAGAAGCCCCAGGGAGGGTGTGTACCTGAACCTGCTGGACTGGCCGCTGCCCATCCTGCCCCCATAGAGGAGGCCGAGTGCTCACGCCAGCAGCACTTGGAGGGAGCACGCCTGGTCCCACCACTGCTCAGAGGCACCATGCACCCAACCCCTGCGCCCTAGGGGAAGCAGCAGAGGAGGTGTGCACCTGCATCTGCAGGAGCAGCCCTGGTGGTACCCCTGCAGGGCCGACTGGCTCTCTAAGGAAGGTGGAGATGCCCCCACAAAGGAGAACTGCAGGGCTCAGGGAGTCAGCAATCCCCAGAAAGACTTAACTCAGGGGGAGGGGGCTGAACTAGCCTGAAGAGACTCTGAGAGTCCCTAGCATCTAGGACAGCGAAGAGCAAGAAGGTGGTGTGTGAACTTCCCCTAATTGGTGCACCTCAAGGACAGTGCAACTGGTGGACTGAAGGGGTAGTCTGGGCACAGAAGGGCACTAGGGACTCGGCAGCAAACTGAGGAACTGGGCTGGAGCCTGGGGGAGTGCAGCTCAGGAAGGGAGAAAAGCGAAACTAATCCCCCCTCAGCCTGCTGCAGCCAGGAAGACCACCAGAACCAGCTTGGCCAGTTTATAGCCAGCAGGAGGCTCTTTTTTTTCTTTCTTTCTTTTTAAAGTATTTTTTCTTTTAACTCTTTCTTCTTTGCTTTCCTTTCTTTTTATTCCTTCTTCCTTTCTTTCTTTCTCTCCCTTCTTATCTCTTTTTCTTCTTTTTAAAAAAAAATTCCCACAAGTGAGACAATAAAACTTGGAGCTATGAAAAGACAAAAGAGTTGGACTCAAAGAGGGATCATCCCAACAGCTGAGACAGTGAGACGAATTTCACTTTGCTACTACAGAGAACCTGCAAGTTATTGTATATTTGTGTTGTTTTTTTCATTATTTTTACATCTCTTATTTTGTTAGTATTTTTGTATTTCTCTTTTTTCTGTTTAGTCTTCACTTGGCTTGTTAAATTACATTGTTTGACTGGTTTCCCTTGTTCTCTCCTTAATAGTATATTTTTAATTTTCCATCTTTCACTTCATTTGTGTTCCATTAGCACACTACTCTAGGTCCTATACTTACTATCCAGATCACATAGAGTCTGTCATATGATTGTTGCTCCATTACTATTGTAAATAATCGCTGTTCCATACAGCTGTAAATACTGCACACCACTTAGATCTTAGCAAACTTCACTGTTTCCTGCATTTTATTATTGCTGTGGTTAACTCTATTCTCTCACACACTATACCTGTTCTCTATCCTTTACTCTCACTTTGCCTCATAATCTGACCTCCCACAAGCTCACTGCTTTCTAGATCCAACTCACAATCCTTCCCCCGCCAACAAGGGTCTTACCTTCTTTCCACACTTTCTAAAAAGTGGCTGGTTGTGTGAAATATCATGGTTAACACTATACATATCCAAAGGATTTCCTATCTCTTCTATATGGGTTGGTACTTTAAATACCATAGAATACACCCTTGCTGTATTAAACCATTTTGCCTTATCCCTCCAACTGATCACAAAAAAAGAGTAGGTGAAAGCTATGAACACCAAGATCCCTGCTGGAAGAGGAAACCCACCAACAAAGGAACCACCAACAGATAACAACAGAAGAAGGTGAGGAGGGAATGGAAGCCACACTAACTCAACCCAGGACTGATCTGGAAATACAACTAAATGGTGGAGAAATTACTCAGAACAAACAACTAAACAAGAGCAAGAGAGAATCCTCAAAATCTTGTACACATGAAAGAACCAGCTTCAGTACAACCTGCCCACACCTGCACAATAGAACACAAGATGTGGTGGACAGAGTGACCCTTAGTTAACCAGCTAGAGAGAAGGACCCACCAAAGAAATACCCAACAATAATCAAAACCCAGAGACATGCAGAGAGCCAACATAAATGACAGCCCAAGACCAGCAAGCCCAGGAGATCAAGGCGACTGCACCATTGAATCTCACAGGTCTTCTACCATAGAAGTTTACACCAGAAACCCAAGGAGTCAGAACTGATCAACCTAAAAAGCAGAGGCTAACAAGAAGAGTCTCACAAACAATGGGAAGACAAAGAAACAATTCCCAAATGAAAGGAAAGGAGGAAACCTCAAAAAATAATGCTAAATGAAATAGAGGCAAGCCAACTATTGGATATTGAGTTCAAAGCAATAAGGAAGCTCAATGAGCTCACAGAGAATTACCAAAAACTACAGGGAAACTACAGTGAACTCACTGAAAACTCTATCAACATGAAAAAGGGAATAGAAACTATCGTCAAGGGCCAAGAGGAAATGAAGAATACAATTTATGAACTGATGAACTGATGAGGCAGGTTCAATGAGGCAGATGATTGGATCGGGGAGCTGGAGGACAAGGTAGAAAAAAATGTCCAGAATGAGCAAGAAAAAGAAAAAAAAGGCTCAGAAAGGATGAAGAGAACCTCATTTGGTATTTGAGAACCTTAATAATGCCCATTAGCAAAATTATACCTTGATAATTACATCATTGCATATGAAGTCATCTAAACATTTGTTTTAGTTAGGGTGATATTACTCACTGTAACTAATACATACAAAAGGTATAGAGGCTCAAATGCTACAAGTTTATTGCTTGTTCTCACAACAGTGTGAGAGTGGGAAACAAATTGGTTGAATAGCTGGTTTCTGTGCAGTTATTCAGCAACCAGGATGTCATGTCTGTCCTCTTCATCACATTCTTTTCCAGTGTCACTTAGGAGGTCACCTCCATTTCTTCCAGATGGGTGAGTACCTAGGGAAAGTTTTTACAGGCTAGCAGACATTAGTTTACTCTTATTTCAGTGGTTCTAACTCAGTCACATGCCCACAAGGTAGCATTAAAGGAGGCTGGAAAATATAGTCCAGTGTGCTCAGAAAAGAGAGTGAGAGAATGTACTTCAGTTAGTAGCCAACAGTTTTTCCCATAGTCTCCCTTTCTGGTCATGAAATAGCCATGCACATCCTGTTTCCTGCCTCCCCACAAGGGAGACCCAAAAGTTTCCTGTCTACTGCATCCAGCACAAAGTTGAGGACATACAGCCAAACCGCAGTGTCTGCTCTCAGACTGGAATGTGGTTGCTTGAGGCTGATAGACTATGAAGTTTACTTATTCTTCCTGAGCCTCACCAAACCCCTAGTGAATAATGATGAAGCAGAAGATAAATAATATCTCCAATAACTGCTCCCATTTTGAAAGGGAAAAATGGAGAATACAGGGGTCATTGATCTGTCATGGAGATGAAATCTGCTGCACAGGAGACCACTAGAAGGCCCATTGTACTGACAGTAGAAGTTATTTGCTTATGTTATCCAACAGAAGAGTTTGTCCACCCAGTACCAGCAGAGCCAAACACTAAACACTGAGAAGAATTGCAGTGAAGAAATTAGAGTTGCTTTTTTTGTAGAGCACTTAGCAAGAATAAAGGGGAAAACTATGGCCCAAAAGCCTGAGCTCCCTAATCCAGGATTCAAGTGGGTTGTAAGGGGTAATGGGGAACAGGTATGGTGGGGCATATTTTAATTGGAGGATCTTGGAGCTTGGCCATTTATTGTAAAAGGGCTTTTTGGCACCTATCTTCCTGGACAATGGGCCCTTTGCTTCTGAAAGGCTTCCAGTGTTGGGGGGTAGGGAAGAAATAGGGTGAGACTTTGGTTCCTGGATACAACTGGAGGTCAAAGTTCTCCATGTGCTTTGGCTGCATGACTTGTGGTTTTGGTCTGTTTTCTCTGAAAAGCAACTCAGTATCTTGTTAAATAGATTAGGGCCTTTTTGAGCTGGTTCAGTGGTTACACTTAGATCCTGATTATGATTTTTTATATATTTTATTGATTATGCCATTTCCCTCCTTCATTCCCCTCCCCCACCATCCCCCCTTTAGTTTATGACCACGTGTCTCAAGTTCTTTAGATTCTATATTTCCCATATTATTCTTGCCCTCCCCCTATCTATTTTCTATCTACCGTTTATGCTACTTATTTTCTGTACCTTCTCCCCCCTTCTCCTTCCCCCACTCCCCTGTTGCTAACCCTCCATGTGATCTTCGTTTCTATGGTTTTGCTACTGATCTAACTGTCCTCTTAGTTTGTTTTTGTTTTAGGTGTGGTTCTTAGTAACTGTGAATTTGCTGTCCTTTCACTGTTCATCTTTTTTTATCTTCTTTTTCTTAGGTAAGTCCCTTTAACATTTCATATAATAATTTTTTAGATAAATTTTCTTCTCTGTTGTTCTCCATGGCTCTGCCTTCTAGATGGTCCTCCCTTCTGGTCTCGTATATGAAGTGGATGTTACAAGTCTACAGCGTTTGCATTGCATGAAGGCTCACACTTTGCTGCATTAAGTTTAGAGGCCCAACGGTTAGTTTTCATTCACAGACTTTTTTTAGATGGAATATCTGGCTTCCTCAGATTTGAGTAACCTTCTTAGCATTTCTAGTTAGTTCTGTGTACCAGTAAACACGCTATAGTGTGTGTCCTAGATAGAGTGTCTTACCTGCTTCCTTTCTATACTTTAGGACTTTCTATGCTTTTCTCTTTGCTCCCAAATAGTGGCTGCCTTCAGATGAATCAAAAGAGAAGGATCAGGAGAGAGGGGCATCCTTAATCTCCGCTTTGTCTCTATTTTTTTAAAGCAAGGAGTCTTAGTAGTCCTTAGTGCTCTGATCTTCAATACCCTTTCCATTTTTATTATCAAATATTTGGCTTTTAGAAATTGGCTTTTCCAGCCTTGTTAGTCTCCAAATTATTTGGCTTCCTTTATATTTTTGCTTAAACACTGGTCTGTTCTTGCCTGAATCATCTTGATCTTGTAGCTTCCTTATCAAAGCAGAGGAACAACATTCAGGCACCACTCTGGGAACACTTAGGTCTATACTAAGACCCCACCAATGTGTCATGCGCTCAGTCACAATAGAAGTGCATTCCTTTTTCAGTAGAGGATTGTGTTGGTAAACAGAATAGTCTCCTACAGCCCCGGCTAACCAAGGTTCTGTGTTCCTATAAAATGTACTCTTAGGGTTTATCTAGGGATCATTTACATTCTAGCCAATTAGGGCAGGGGAACGTATGATTCAAGGGGGGAGATTTTTAATGCTCAGTTCTGCAAATGACACACATCACTTCCATTCACTCTATTGACATCTCCATTACCCATTGGCCTGAAGTTAGGAAATACAGTCTATCTCTGTACCAGAAAGAGAAGGAGAAAATAGATTTTAGTTAGTAGGTTATCTCAGCCACAATATTTAAACTAAAAAAAAATCTAGGATTTGAAAGATAGGTAGTAGAGTAAGTCAAATAGTCCATATAATGTAGTAACAATGAGAATATTAATAAATGGTAGTAGGTTAAGCCGTTTTAAAGAAAAGAAGCAGAACTAGAACTCAAATTCCTGCATTTTTGTTACCTATACCATGTTTTGTAAAACAAAAGTCAAAGTATCTGAGACTCAAACTTCAGGCTTGTTGGGTAGCAAAGTAGGTAACTGGAAAGAAACACACTGCCAAGAACATGCCTACAGCCTCAAACCAACCACCTAAGTACTGCATTATTTTCACATTTACAGATAATGCGCTCATAGTGTGTTAATTGAGCCTTGATAGTGCTTGATAAAATGAATGTTGCCAAGAACAAATGATTGGAAAATTTAATTATCCCCGATTGTTTCCATGATAATTTATTTGAAATGATTTTGTGTTCTTTACTGATACATAATGGGAATAAGTCAAAGGCACTTTTACCCATTGCTTTAGAAGTGAATTTTATGGAATAAATTATTCCTGAATTTTGTAGATAATGCTTTTGATTTTTTAGGACTTCACCATATTTTTTTTCTTTGCAGCGGGCATCTTGGAGATCAAAGATGGGGAGAAAAGTGGCCTACACTATAAAACTTCCTGTTGACCAGTACAGAAAGCAAATCGGTAAGCAGTGACTTCCCTTTGATGCATCCCCGAAAGTCAAGATAAAGACAAGAAAGTAATTGTGTGTGGTATTAAGAAAATAACTTTTCCCTAATACATATAGTGTGCAGAATATGAATGATGAGAGAGCATGTAGAGTTTTTTAGGAATAAAAAATTAAGTGTAGCTCTGCCCACCAATGGGAAAATACCTTTTGTGTACCCGTGGTTTTTCAAAACTCTTATAATTTTTATGAATTTAGTAAAACCAAGAAAATAGTTTTATTCTTAAGGCCTGCTGGTTTTATATAATAAATGTCTTTAATTAAATCTTTTAATCCATGTAACACTTTTAATTCTGTTGTCTGTTAATGGTAATTATTCGATAACTTCAAACATTTTTTAAATTTATCTTTTATTGTTGCTCAGTTACAGTTGTCCCCATTTCCCCCCATTACTCTCCCCTGCCCTACCCACTCCCCCCTCCCACATTCAATCCTCCCCCACTTTGTCTTTGTCCATGGGGCCTTTATCCATATTCCTTGACTTGATCCTTCTAGAATTTTATCTCAGTAAAATGATGGACTGGAGGAAAGTCTACTTATCAGCACACAAAGATATTTTTCACATGTTTCTCCTATTCTACCCATTCTCATTTTGGGGGTATTAAAAATTTAATAAAATTATTTTTAAATAATTGAAGACTAAACAAAAAGGTTGGCAATAGAAATCAGAAAATAAGTAGAAGTAATTGATACTGAAAGAATATATACCTATTTCATAAATATGATACATAAGTTGGTTTCCATAAAAGAAAAGATATTTCTGCAAAATAAAAGAGATACAAAATGAAAAATATTTATAATACATATAACCAATTAAAAGTTGTATGTAGGAAAATAAAGTTCTACCACAATTAAATAAAGTAATCTAGGAACTCATAGTAAAATGGACAAAAAGGAGATACTTCTAAAAAAGAAATTTAAATAGACAAACAACAAAACAAACAACTATTACAATAGAAAATGAAATTAAAGGGTGTTATGTAAATATCTGACTCACCTAACTGGGAGTCACATAAATGCAAATTACAAAACAGTATTTCTAACTGAATAATTTCTACAGAGAGGTTTATGATGTTTGATTTATTTCATATTATCCTTTCTTCACTTAAAGGATGGCTTATGGATAAATAGTGAGTTCTTATGTTTTTTATATCTATAAATAGAAGGACCGACTTATCAGATTAAAATCTCTGATCAAATGGGATGTGCTAACCACATAGATGAAGAGTTACCATTTTGTGAATCAATCCACAAAACAACTCTTAAACGTACAGACAGTATAGAAAACATGTCTGTTTTCTCAGATGGCTCCTCCTATCTGCATTATATTCCCATAGAAAGTTCTCTTTTCTGTTTTACTTACTCTGGAAAATACAGGGTGGGTCAAAAGTAGATCTACCGTTGTGAGTATGTGAAACACAGAGTTTATTCTTACAATATTATTTATTAATTATTGTGTCAGTTTCTATGTGAACAACTGCAAACCTACTTTTGACCCACCCTGTATACATTATCACACGACCCACCTGTCTCACAGGGCTCTTGTGAGGTTTGTGAGAAGTATCACAGCAGTTGGCAAACTAAGTGTTACATGGGTGTCACAGAATATGAGTTACTCTGTGTGTACTTTGCAAATACAGTGCTGACTGTATTTGCAGTTAAACAAACAAAATAGGTTAAAATTAGGGCCGTGAGGGTTTACTTTTGTTTACTCTTTTAAAGGATAATGCCCTGCAGTTGTAAGATTCTCATACATACACTCTAGAATGTCATATAAATAAAAGGTCTTGTAAAGGTAGAGAAAGAAATGAAATAAAAAAGCTATTAGTTTACTAATAAAAATATTTAACATACCTAATTCAAGGATTTTCTCAAGGAAAGATTTTCTGATTTTCTGTGACAGAATTAGAAAGTACCGTGAGCCTGAACTCACATTAATAGTGATAGATTTTTCTGTTACTCATAGTGTCTCTTTTAAATAGAGTCCTGCAGATGTTTCCAAGATGTAATCCAAAATGTGAGTAAGGGCTGACAGCAGCTAGAATGATCTCGGGGAGATATTTCAGCACTGATATTTTAAAAAACTACAAATAGCAAATGAAGTGAGTATTACAGTGTTTTGTGAATATTAAAGTTATTAGTAAGTTGCCCTGGCTGGTGTAGCTCAGTGGATTGAGCACGGGCCTGTAAAGCAAAGGATCGTGGTTCGATTCCCAGTCAGGGCACATGCCTGGGTTGCAGGCCAGTTCCCAGTGGGGGACACACTAGAGGCAACCACACATTGATATTTCTCTCCCTCTCTTCTTCCCTTCCCTTCTCTCTGAAAATAAATAAATAAAATATTTTTAAAAAGTTATTAGTAAGCTAATTTAGATTGCTAATAAACTGTCACATATGTGTGTAATGTCCCCTTTTTACTAAATCTCATTTATGTAAACTTAGTATGGTCAGTCAGTAATTATATTTGGCGAGACTAGTACCATTCTTGGAATAATGACTTTAACATTATTGTTTCTTATCATCTGCTAAAAGTTTTTCCTTTCAATCACTAAACGACAGTGATTAATGGCTTTCATAAAAGCATTTTTTTAAACAATATTCTTCGCTCAGGTAAGAATCAAATGAGCTGACACTGTCACTGGAAATACCTTGTAGTTATAGAATCTTCAGAGTACATGGATGCTGTTTTAATTATTATAGCATGATCTTGAGTGTGTACTGAACCGAGATGAAAAACCTTACTTTTAAGGTAATCAACTAAGAAAAATGAAATACTGCTGACTACAAGGGGAAATAAATTGGTTTGGGCCTTATAATTTCTTCAGAAATAATATTTAAAAAATAGATGGTATGACATTGGCTAATATTCCATGTATTATTCTAGAGATAAGTAATTTCAAAAATGAAAGTGAGAATTTTATAAATTGTTTTAACATAAGATATTTTATAAATAGTTGTTATTAAGTATATCAGTCCAAATATTAATATGTGCTAGGCAAATTATATAAAAGTACAGCCAATTTACTTCTAAAACTCGATTTTCTTATGTAATAGAAGCAGCTAACAAATATTAGACATCTTGTGCTGGGAACATCTTTTTTTTATCCTCACAACAGGCTTATGAAATAGGAACTATTATTACCTTAACTATTACAGATCAGGAAAACTTGGCACAGATGGTTGAAGAATTTTCCTAAGGCTCTACAATTGGTAAGAGTTAAAGCTAGGACTCAATATCGAGAAATTGACCACAGAAGCCCTTTCCTATACTACTTCCCTGGCCACATATTAGATATTGGCAGATGTAAAGATAATTAAGTCTCAAGATCTAAGTTCATGAAATGGATGGTATAGTAGCACTGTAGCTATGGTGAGAGTCTCAGTATCTCTGCTCCTGATTTAGAAATACTAAGGCCAAAATATGATTCTTGCATTTCTTAATTCTTTCTGTATTTATCAAGCACCTAAGACTTTAGTATAGTTTATTTCTCCTATCCAGTTGTATACATATTTACCACTTCCTTTGATCCTAATTCTCTTTCCCATCCCAGACTTTTTATGGGATGGAAATGATCCCTGACCTCATTTTTGTTGTGACCGATAGCCATTTTTTTCAGGACCTCCTGTATCTGCCTGCTAGAACAAGTTCTCAGTTTCTTTCTTTTATGATACTGTCATACTATTATTTTTGAAACATGTTTCCTCTGCTTATAGAATTCTCATTTGGCAGTTTTTATTTTTATTTCATCATGTGCTCTTTCAACACATGAGAACATCATGCTACTGCATTTAGACTGTTATTTTTGCTGCTGAGAGTCAATCTAAATGTTGCTTCTTTGAAAATAATAGTAATATTTTAAACATATTTTCTGTCATTTCTATATTTAATTGATATTATGTAATTTTACAATATCTTTTTTTTCTTCATCCATATTGACTGAGACTTACCCAATTGTATAGACATTATAAACAGTTAGCTTTTGTTACTCTAAGTTCTAGTGGGGGTTTTTTTCGTGTGATTCTACTCTTGTCTTTATGATTTCCTTCATTTTAATTCTTTAACTTTTTCTTTAGATATTTGAGCTGCGTGATTTACTATTTATTATTCAAACTTTTTTTACTAATATACTCATTTAAGGGATCTGTTTTCTTTATTATATCACTGGCACCATTACATTATTTAGAGCTCTCTTAAATTGTTCAATTATATAAATTATGTGTTATATAATATATATTCAGCATAATATCTATTGAATTATGTATGTTAGTGATAAATACAGGGATATATATATGTATTTCAAATTGTTTTAACCTGATTAATTTTTATTTTCAGAGAATATTTTCAATATGATGTCAGATTTTGGAATTAAGTTTTCCTCTATTGCTTAGTATGTGATCAGTTTTGTTAATTTGTCTGTTTTTGAAAGGAGTAGGTATTCTCTAACATTAAGATGTAAGACTGCTTATGTTAGTTGTGTTGCTCATACTGTTTTGTACTTTAGGTGAATGTTCGAACTGTCATTCTGTGAGAAAGGAGAACTAAAACATCCTCGCTAAGACTGTGGAGACTATGGAGTTGTCTATTTTTTCAGTGGTGGTTTATGGATTATAGTGGCAGGCTATGTTTTTGTTGTATGGCATTTCTAAACTAGTATATATTTGTGATAATTCCTCTTTTTCTATTAAATAATGGACCCATTTATAAATGCTACGAAGTTTTTTCTTTGAGTTGTTTTTGTCTCACATTGACATTGGTAAATATCTCTTTTTGTTTAGTATTCTGATATTTAATTTTCCACCTCTTTCCATTCATCTAAACTTGACACTGTTTTGTGTTTTTGATATAGTCTAAGATTCTTTGATTTTGAGCAAGCAAATTTAATTCCATATCATGTATTGTGAATGAAGAATCCAGATTATCTTTTCACAGTTTTATTATGTATTTTTTATCTTTTTT